GGTGGAGGTTGCAGTGAGCCGAGATTGTCCCACTGCACTCCAGCCTGGGTGACAGAGCGAGACTCTAACTCAAAAACAAAACAAAACAAAAAGGGTAAGATTTAATATTACAAATATGATTCCCCACTTCTAGATCATATTCAGTTACAGAATCTCTACTGAAAAACATAAAAAATGAAGGGAATTAAAAGGAGAGCAAAATAAATGAAAGCTAAATGAAATAATCCTTTAGAGAAATGAGTTGTGATTATTCTTACCCTAAGAAAATATTTAATTTGATAAAATACAACACATTTTTAAGGTGGAGGGGGGCAGCTGAGATAATGCAATTTTAAAACTGTTTAATCACTGAGTGTAGTACTGAACACTTTATACTTTTTATTTTAGAAGTTTAGTACATTGTTTTTAGATTCTGTTTTTGATTCTGAATTATCCTACAGGACTTTTCTTTTGTTGTTCTTCTGTTACTATTAGTTTATTAGTATGACCCTTTTTTTCAGTAAAAGACTACTCCTCTTAAATTTTCATTTATTATTGTGGCAAGTTTTATAAAGATGGAACATTGCAAAAGATTGTGTTTTATTGATTGGTGGAGTTGATGCAGGACTATAAAGCAGTGTGTTGAAGTATTAAATTAAATATTTTTCCTCTCTGTGCTACTTTAGACCCATATTGGAGGTTAAAGGGTATTACACAAATGAAATGATAAATCCAGTTTACATAGTTTTCTTATAGACATTGAACTGCTTCTTTCTTATTATGTCTGAATAAAACTCATTATCTATTTTGTTTCAGTCATAATTACGAGATTCCCTCCTAAGCAATTCTTTACTGTCTCCATTATTCTCCATCTTATAGAATACTCTGGAAAGGCAAGCATATAAATATGATAAAAGAATTAAGCTGTTGAAATAAATTAATTTATTTTGCAACAGTGTATTCAAATCTTACTTGCTCAATGGATTTTACTTTAATGAAATTCTTCAAAGAACAATACATTATGTTCCAAAGATTGAAATTATACATTAAGTAAAATGACTGAATATGTTGTGTCTCAATTTATAGAAAGTTTCAATTGAATGGTTAAGCTTTTAAATCATAAAAATTTGCATAAATTAAAATATTTTCTTCAAATAACAGTATTAACTATTGTCTTCCTATCCTTTGTTCTTAAACACAAAACTGCAATAAAAGCAAAACTAAGTTAAAGCTAAATTAAATATTATAATTTTACTTATACATATTTACTGAGCTTTAAATTATGCTGTTAAAGTGCATTTTACATAACAATTTTAATCTAATTTATTTTTACTTAGTATATTATGTCTTTTTAAGAGCATTTTGGATGTGTAAATGAATAACTGAACAAGTCATGAATTAAAGGGATGATCATAGACAACTGACATTTAAGTACATTGACTAATAAAGCATTTTTCTACTTATATGGGAAATGTTAAAATAAACAAGGACTTATTTTCATGACATAATATTGTTCTAGAAATTTATGTGTTTAATATTGAAGCATTTTAATGAGTTAAATATCTCAGAAAAATTATATTCTCATGCCTTCCATTAGTATCACTAGGAAATCTATTATGACAGGAATATCAGACTTGCAAAATCATTTTAAAAAGATGGATTTATTTCAGTATTGTACTTTGTGTCTCTTCAGCCAAATATATGCCACTGAAAGATCACTAACATTATTAAGAAAAGCATTAAAATTTATTGATAGATAAGTATTGATGTGAGTGACCTTTTGAATAAAAGAGTGGTTATTTTAGAAAATTTTATTCCTGCAATAATATAGCAATGCATTTTCTCAAATACGCACTATGTATTTCTGTGTAATCCAAGTGTTAGCAGTTAGATGTATTAGGAATTAGCTCTAAAGCCTAGACAAACTGTATGTTTCTATTAGAATTTCAAGAAAGCAAGGTTAGACTTTAAGAGTGTATGTCTGGGCACGTATGAAGTTAGCTGCAGTATTGTTTCTTAATATATTTATACAAATTAAAAGAAGTTCTACATATAGTCTTATTAATGCATCCTCTGTAAGTGCACAAATACTTCAAAACCATACAAAATTCAACTTTTGAATTATGGCTTGGCTGTACACAAGCCAAGATTATCCTTTGATTTGTGATCACAATGATTTGATATGAGCATATTGTCATTTGAAGCTTCTTTATAGTTTAGGGATAATTATAATTAGAAGATAGGAAGTAAGTTTTGGCATCCAGATGTGAAGTTTCTGATCTTTTAAGTCATATACGTGTGTGTTTTAAAAACTTTTGGACATTTGTTTGCCTTAGACATTTTGGAGGCATACATGCTTCATTTTTTAGTTTGGAAAAATAACTGATAATATGTTCATTTTCCATGCCACTTGTGATAAAGATTTCAAAATATCTTATTCTGCAAACTGTACTGTACCTTTCTTTTGTATTCTAGAGTGTTACAAATGCATGCATGCTACAAACTTCTCTGAACAAGTCAGTTTTAAATTTTAATGTATGGAGTGTATGTGTTTTTGTTTGTCCCCCTTGTTTACTCTCTCCTCTCCCCACATCTTCTCTCTCTCTTTCTTTCTCTCCCTCCCCCTTTTCTTATTTGCATATTGGCAGTATTTCAAGTGAAAATCCTACATAACTTGAGCTGGAGAAAATGTATTGCGTGTTGCTTATATTTACCTACATATCAATTTTGCTATTTGCAGAAAATAAAGCACTTAATTGTTAACCTCTGATCTATTAAGGTAAAGGACTAATGATTTTTAGTATAATACTAACAATACATCTGCCTTCTGTGGGGGTTTACTGTCTTTTACAGAAGCCTATAAACACTTATTAGTCCTATCCAGAAACTCTTAAAGTTCAACACATTATCATTATGACAAGATTCTAATATGCATTGCAACTTTTGAGAGTAACATTTAATTGACTTTTTTTCTTTCTTTACAATATTGTTTTGTCATGAAGTTTCTCATAGCACTTCTTTTTTTTTTTTTAATTTCATTGAATATATCGTAGGAAACCATTTTATTACATGGATTTGGGGAAAGTCCTCGGCTATTTTTTCTGCTTATTTTCATTTTATTTGTCATGCTTTCCAAAATGAAGTCTCAGCATATCTGCTGAAGATGTTTATCGGCAGTGTAGACCATTGAAAAATTAAAAGAGTATGACGAAAGTACAGTTCAATCTTAGCTCCATATTAAACTCATAGGGAGAGCCTTAAAAAAATACTGAAGTCTGGGTCCTATTTTAGACTTAGTGTATTAGTTTTTTTAGGGCCATTGTAACAAAGAACCAGAAACTGGGTAGCTTAAAACCAGAGAGATTTATTATCTTGCATTATTGGAGTCTAAGAAGTTCAAAATCAAGAGTTTATGAGGACCATGCTCCCTTTGAGATTCTAGGCGGAATCCTTAGTTGTCTTTCCATAGCTTCTGGTAGGGGCTGGAAATTCTTGGCATGCCTTGGCTTGAAGCTGCATAAATTTAATCTCTGCCTCAATGTTCACATGACATTCTTTCCTCCTATCTTCACATCTTCTTGTAAAGACATGAATCATGTGGGATTAGAAGCCATCCTAATCCAGTATATTCTCATCTTAACTAATTATGTCTGCAAAAACTCAGTTTTCAAATACATTCATGCTCATAGGGACCAAAGGTTAGGGCTTCAACGTATCTTTTTGGGGGACACAATTAAGCATAATACTCAGTAAACCAGAATCTTTGGAGTCAAACTGAAGCATAAGCACATTTAAGAACTTGCCAGGGTGATTCTGATGTGCAGTAGGATTTCAGACCATCATGTTGGTAATAAAATCACTTTGACCAAAGATGAGCATGATCACCATTCTCACTGGCAGTACAAAGCCTGGAAACTCCTCTCTTTGTTTTCCATATTAACATTGACATTTTGGAAACATGAGCCTCCTAAAAGTCAATTATATTTTATAACTTTTTTCTCTATGTCATATTTGCATATTTTCACCCTAATAAAGAATAATGTACTTACTACTCATAAGTACATTATACATCTACATACTTTATGTAGTTTTCTTCCAGACTTTTAACTATTTATTAATTATTGCAAAGACAGTTCATCCAGTCCTGTATCTGTTAATAACTGAAGGTATATTTTGTTGCTCAAAGTAGAAAATGTTCACCAATGGGTACCTTCTTTCTTAATCTTTAATGCCATTTATAATAGCTAATTGGAGGCATTTATATAATCCACCTGCATATTTGTATAATGGAGAATGGACAGAGCTTAGAGATGGAGGTATGGAGGAAACAAGAGTTTTGACATAAAATAGAGTATGAGGAAACACAGTACCAAATTTCCCTGGGACACAATTCATACATATTTCACAAATTGACCTTAATACATTTGTGTGGTTGAATTGAAACTAGGTGTGGTAGGTATTCTGAAAATTATTTAAATCAAAGAAAATTATTCCAATATTAAATAATAATCCATTTCCACGATGCCTTAAAATGTGACTATGTCCAGAGAAGTGCCCAGATGGAATGCCTGTTAAAAACTCTTCTGGTATGATTATTATGGTCAGTCATGTTGAAAATGTGTTTATTACGTGACCTTTAGATACTTGCAGAGACAAGGGAATATATTTAAAGATTTCTTCAAAATGATAAATAATCTTTTATTCTCCAAATTCTTTGTTGTCTAATGGGTTCTTATATGGATATTTTTGGGTTTCTTCTTAGGGCTTACTTTTTCCAGAGTGGATTGACATTTGCCATGACTACAGTCATGCTTACCTGTAGAACCAGTTTCATAAATCATCTTTTTCTACTTTATTTGGCTTTGCTCAAGATAAACATGTCTTTTAGTTAAATGCTGATGAAATAAAGTGTTTATTCTCTTTACATATCTTATTGTATTTAGAAAAACCAACATTTGTTAAGTAAAATTCCACTGTATTTAACCTCTTTTCTTCCCTCCTTCCCTCCCTTGGTGGTGCAGGAGCGTGTTCCGGATAGCCCCTCACCTGCCCCCTCTCTGGAGGAGGGCAGAAGGCCTGGCAGTCACCCATCATCACATCGCAGCAGCAGCGTGTCCAGCTCCCCTGCACGGACTGAGAGCTCTTCTGACAGAATCCGTAGGTCTCATACTTCTACTTGTCACCATTTTAAACTTTATTAGGTTCAGCTGGTTTTTCTAATCAACATGCCCTCATTCCAAATAGATCTCAGATGGATCATGTTCTGAAGCTAGGTAGCAATAGCCATCTCTCAAAATTATGTTTCCCAGTTTGCAGTATCATGAGGTATGACACAACATTAACAGGTCCTGATATAAATTTCCTCTCTTTGATGCCACGTATAAAGCTTTGAGCCATGAAACAGAGAAAATAAGTAACCTTCTAGATTGGTTTCTGAAGTAAACACAACCAATTCTCATATACCGAGTATCTAGGTCCACTGTTTATGGATTATTCAAGATCATTCCTCAAATCCTACCCTTCCATTTGGTAATTCACTATGTTTTAAATTTTATTCTTGTGTTAATGGAGATATCCACAAAGAGAAATGAGTCAGATTCAGAATAATAAATTTAAAAAGCATACATTTCTAATTCATTCTGGTGATCAATGGATTAAATAATTTGAAATTAGCCTAATTTGAGAATTTGAATTAGTAACAATCAATAATGCATACTATTGCCATATGTTGTTATTATTAAAATTTGAGAAGTAGGGCTGTATTTATTTTCCATAATATTTAATCTTGGTCCTTATGGCCAAGAAATTTAAGAATAAAGTTAAAATGCCATCCAATTAACAGATAATTTTGCGTCTGTACAATAATATCAGATTGTTCTTTTGATGACTATATTAAAAGAGAATAACTTGGTTGATAAAACTGATCTATCTTGCTTTTTCAGAACTTAGCCATTATTTTATGAAATTACGTTCATAGCATAAACTTTGTCTAATTACACAAAAGTTATTTAAGTTATTTGGTTGTTGAGAATATTTTCATAATAGGAAAGTATTTTCTAGGAAGTGACTTTGTAGATTATAAAGGAATGTATGCATAATGTGAAAATTGTTGATCTGGGAGCTATTGAAGTAGTAATTTAAAGATTAAGTTAAATGCTATGTAAATAATTATAAATAAAAGATAGTCAATTACTGGCAATTATATAGTTCAACATAATACCAAATATATATACTTGCTTTGGCCTGCCTGAAACGTATTTTCTTAATTTTATAGCTTTATACACTACTTTAAAATAGTTTTCAAATAAAATATTTACTGTATATTTTTACGATATGTTGACACTAGAATCAGAAGTTTAATGATAAATATTGGTTTCATTATAAGATATTGGAAAGGTACTGTCCTAGAGAAAAAAAACTTTTTTTAATAAAATGAAAATGATGGACAGCTTGGGGAAGATTTGAAAGAGTTTTGTTACACATTCACATAATTTTATTAATGGTTATGTTATTTTTAAAATTTTTGATAGAAACAAAGAATACATTTTTGTATGCCTGGGATATCATAATTGTTGAAGTGGAAATACATCCACATTCACACACACATATGTATACATATATGTGCACATATATGTATATTCATTTCTAACATGATACTTTAATTTTCGACTTACAGAAAATTTTCAGATACAAATCATTCTTATGTGCTCGTCGTCCTGATTTACCTCATCAATCAATCCATGAAGGTGTCTGAAAGTGATATCTCAATAAAGGCATAATGTCACCTAGTCCTTCTATCCTAAATTAAATGCATCTTTACCTCAAACTCTTCATCATTTATCTTCTACAAACAAGGACATTTTTTTAATAACAAAAGAAAAATGATCAAAATCAGGAAAATAATATGACGGTACTAAAATTTAAACTACAGTTTTTATTTAAATTGCATTGGTTTTCCCACCAATATTTTTAAAAGCAAGATTTTTTTTTCTTGGTACAAAAGCCAATCTAGGATCACACACTACAACTATTTCTCATATTCTGTTAGTATTCTTTAACCTGGAACAGTTTATTAGTCCTTTTTGTCTTTCAGTAACAACACTTTTTTTGAGTACAGGCCATGTATTTTGTAGAATGTTCCTCAGTTTAGTTTTTATGTGATTAGACATAGGTTATGGATGTTTGGCAGGAATCACACAGCTGTGATAGTGTGTCTTTCTTAGTGAATCACTTCAGGAGACACACATTTCTACAATACCAGCAATAATTTTATCACTTTCTTAAGGTGGTGACTACCAGGTTTCTCTATTACAGTATTACTTTTTGTTGCTGTTGTTTACCTTTCTGGATAGTGAGTATGTTGTGACAAAATATCTTAAGACTATGCAAATATCCTGTTCTTTACCAAATTTCCACTCACTAGTTTTAGAATTATCTATCCCTTGATGTCTGAAGCAATCAATTATTATTAATGGTGTTTGCCAAATGGCAATTTCTACTATATTATTCTTATATTTTAAAGTTGTATATTTTCCATAGAACTTTTATTTTATGCAAAATAAAAATAAAGTGAAGTGATGTCATTTTCAGTATTTTCTGCTTAGTCCGATGAATTTTTATGTTATTTATCATAGTGTTTCTAGGGATAGATTATAAATTTAAAGTTAGACCATTATATTAATACTATATTTACTGTTGAGTCCAAAAGAGTTTAATTAACTTATTGGAACCTTGTGTGTTACGGTGTTTTGTGTTTTGTTGTGTTTGTTTGTTTTTTGGGTTTAACAGCGGTTCATCAGAATGGATTGTCCATGAACCAGATGCTGATGGGCTTATCACCAAATGTACTCCCTGGGCCCAAAGAGGGGGATTTGGCTGGTCATGACATGGGACATGAGTCGAAAAGGATGCATATTGAAAAAGGTAATGTATGATTATATATTCCTTGTTTTTTCAATTCAATATATGAACTAGATTTTAATCACAGAAGAAATACTTCTCTACCTTATGTAAAATATGTATATATATATACATATTATATATGTATATATATATATACATATTATATATGTATATATAAGGGTTTTTAAAACCTACAATATTTAGTACAAATTAAACCTATTCAAAAAAAAGATATATGAACGAAGACCTGCAGCACTTCTCTTATACAATATGTAAGTTACAATTTAGTTACCAGTATATTAATAAAACGTCCCATTCTTTATGTCTCAGTTCCTAAAAGGTCTGCTATTTGACTTTTTCAATGGCTTTAGGGTCATTGTCATTTTACTTAGCATAACAGAACAATAACTGTATAGGAAGGATGATTCTCCCCTCTTTTGTATTAAAAAACATAGTTAATGGATGAATAAGGAAACAGAGATATATTTTATATGTCAGTGTACTTGTAGTTGTTTCAAAATATACCAAGAAAGCCCAGGTTCTACGTAGCTACGAAAGTTTCTTATATTTTGTTAATATCAACCAAACTTATTTTCACAGGCAAAAATTGTATTTTCATCCCTCATTTCATAATTTCATGAAAAAATTAAAATATTATTTTAGTCAGTATATTAGAAATTTATTCTTGGAGCTGCAAATGCATGCTTTCAAATTGTGAATATAAGAGCCTTTCCATGTATTTTTAATTTTAACTTAATATTTTGAAACTTTATAAATACGGATAGGATAGTTTGCTTCTCTTTTTTTTGACATAGCCATCAAATAATCAGTGTTGTGAATAAAGATTATTTCTTTGGAGAACATTAAAAGGGCACAATTAATCAGCTGTCAACAAGGAAAGGAAACACAATTGGGTATTTCAATAATTTAATAGGACTAAATCTGTGGAGAGAGATTAAGTTAAGGAGGGGTACCTTTTTTCCACCAAAAAGACTACTCACAAAAAGTAAAAGCGCTTACATAAAACATTTCCCTTTCAACATAAAAATAGCTCTGCTAAGTGCCTTAGGGAGAAGGAGTATATTTCTACAAATTAGATTATTTGAGCTATGGAATGTCAGTGAGAAAACAATAATCTAGGTACTAACATGTTAACTTCTAGGCATAATTGAGAAAAAGAGGCATTAATAATTTTTTATTATTGTGAAACTTGATATCAAGTGTTATTTATATTAAGTATTCTAATGCAGTGCACAACTAGTTCAGTTGGTCTCTAAATTTCTAACTTACATTTTTCACAAACTTTTCATTAACGATAAAGAAAAATGTCATAGGTATTATCCATCATATATATTTTGACCTATACCTTTGATATTTAATCAGAAAGCCACGCATAGCAATATTGTAAAAAATAGTATAGTGGTAAAACATAAAGTTTCATCAAATATTCATTTTAAGTAATGATATTTAAATATAATAATTAATTGTATGGGTTTCACAATCATTCTCCGCTAGGGTTGAGCGGAAGAACAAAGCCCTCAGAAAATTATTTAAGTCATTGTTTTCTCAATTTTCCCTTAGAAACTATTTAACAGATTTAACTTGGGATGCATAAGAAGGAAGCCAGTTTATATTATATAATGAATGTCACGATATTAGCGCTAAATTCTCTTGCAGAACCATGGTGGAGAAGGGGTAAGAGAGAAGTGTAGAAGTCCAGACATGGTAGTGAAGAGAAAATCACAAAAGGAATGACTGGTACTAGAACTGGAATAACAAATCTTACTCGAATTTTTGTTGGAGAGCTTTGTGCACCGTTATTCTTTTAATTGACCTGTATTTTTCATAACTGTTTCTTTTTCATATGTTATGATTTTAATCTATTTATTAATTATTATTATTATTTTGCCACCATGGAGCATTTTTTGAAATAATATACTAGGTTGATCTAGGCATGTTTTGAAGTATTTTTGTTATTTGGAAGTTATTTCTTTGTTGGTATCCTTCCACTAGTAGAATGTAAGCTGACTGGGAGTCTTCTGTGTACTACATTTGCTTTAAACAGACTAGGCAGTCTTTGAGTGCATACTGATCTGTGGGCTGAATTATTAGAAGATTCCAACAGACAGACAAGAGTTAAAACAACTTTGGAGATCACGTGCTTTAATGATTAATAGCAAGGCCAAAGGTGGTATTATCTGGCCTTTAAAAAGTACATTTATATTAAACACATTAGAACATTCTGACCACAAATATACACAAAAACTTATTGTGTCACTAATGGTACTTATTTCAAGATTTCTAGATTGTTTTGCTGCAAAGTCCTTGATCATAGCCCAAAATTTCTCCATATTTTAACATATATTTTATAGTGAAAAATAAATTTATAAGATTCTCCCTAGAAACGTGAAACTATAATTGATTTCAAATGTGTAGTATATGTAATCCCAAAATTGTAATAGATTTTGATACTATTCTAGTAAACTTTTTGTTATGTGATGCTTTTCTCTTGCATGTACTTTCTTTTATCTAGTTTTTGCATAGTGAATTAATAGTAAATATTCATGGGCTTTCTAGATTGATAGAGACTACTAAATTAAAACATGTTTTCTTTCATGACAACATTTATCATGAGTCTCATAATATCCCTGTAACTTTCCTACCACTCATATCTATATCAAACTAGTAGCTTCATTTAGAGATATTTGTAAAGAAATTAATTATATGTTTATGTCATTTTAGGCTTGAACCTATATGTAATTTGCTGTCTACCAACTAAATTATTCAAAAGGCAGTAATTTTTTAGAAAACACTGACTCCAAAATTAGATGCCAACATTTATTTGTATGCTGAGAATCACTGTGGTCTGAAATCTTAAGCATCAGTAACTTAAACACTTTATGTTCTTCTTAATATTAAATAGCTATATCTCCATTCTATTATTCAAAAGAATTAAATCAGCCTTAGTTGAAGGACCAGTGGTTTTAACTACTGAGTAAATTCATTCTGCTTTAAAAATAAAGAATACTCACGTAGGGTTTTCAGCTTAGGGAGAGCATAATTTAAGCATGTTCAAATATATACATATATATATATATATACACACACACATATGTATAGGTTTGGATGTGAACCTACATATAGGTTCAAGCCTAAACAAATAAAATACACATATATGTATATATCTGTATCTATACATCAAATATATATATAAATATGTATCTATATATAAAAATATATATCACAGGAGATACGTATCATATATATGTATATCATATATATGGATATATCATATATATGTATATCATATATATGTATATTATATATGTATGTATATCATGTATATATGTATTATATATGTATGTATATCATGTATATATACATATATGGATATACATATATATATCACTTTATATATGGAGAGAGAGAGAGAGAGAGAGAGAGAGAGAAGTAATTGGCCAGGCGCAGTGGCTCATGCCCGTAATCCCAGCACTTTGGGAGACCTAGGAGAGCAGATCACCTGAGATCAGGAGTTTGAGACCAGCCTAGCCAACATGGTGAAACTCTGTGTCTATTTAAAATACAAACATTAGCCAGTAGTGGTGGTGGATGCCTGTAATCCCAGGTACTAGAGAGGCTAAGGCAGGAGAATCCCTTGGACCTGGGAGGCGAAGGTTGCAGTGAGCTGAGACCACAGCATTTCACTCCAGCCTGGGCCACAAGAGCGAAACTGTTTCCAAAAAGAAAAAAAAAAAAGAAGAAGTAAAAGAATTATAACAACCTTTGCAGTCATCTCAATTATAAGGAGACATGCTTTAAAGATTAAGAGAGATACTTTGATTAAACTCATGAGTTTGTCAAAGATAGGTGCTTAGGGAAACTCTGAGACAGCACACAGCATGGCTTAAGAAACAACTGTCTTTCAGCTTTTCCAAACGTCCAGAGTTCCCAAGAGCTTTCTGTATTTTAAAACATTGCCAATCTTTTCCCTCATTCTAACTGTAGTGGAATAGGCCATAATAATTGACATTTGTAGTATATAAATAGACTCACTGTTTCTTGATACTGGAGCTCTCTGTTTATTCCACACATTTGTCCATTGATACTAGTTTACAGTATTGCTCTCTCATCAATAATTTGTTTTGGTTTTTCTTAAATTGCTGTACTTTCAACAAATTTTTGAGCATACTTCTTATCTTGCCTATAAGTCAATATGCACATTTTTGTTATTATACAATTTACCTATTTTTGATTGATCAAAAATTAAGTATATGGTAGAGATAAGCCTATAATATTAACTTCCTCCAATTATAGAAAACTTAAGCATTTAGAGTTGGGACTAACTGTTGCATACCTAATTTGTTATTATATTTTGGTCTTGGATTAAGTCTACCAATGTGATGTAATCAATGAGTAAATATTTACTGAAAACCAGATATGTGAATGAAAACAAATGAAATATAAATCAGCCTCTCTCTTTCCCTGTCTCTCCCTTTCTGCACTAAAATTATACAGACTTTTTTTCTTAATATGTAATTTCTCCTACAGTTAAGGCTTTTCTCTCATTTGTCATGAAAACTTTTCACTGCTGATTACTTCAGACACCACATTTTAGAAGCAGGACTAATCTGAGGAGAGGCAGGAATTCCAGGTGATTCGCTTTAGGCCATAAAGTACTTTTTTTGTGTCATATTTTGCTTGGTGGGCAGTACTCAAAATTTCCAGTGTTCAACAGCTTTGTATAAAAACTTTTCATGTTGATAATCTAACATGAAGGACAGAGCACTAAAGGCCAAAAAGTAGTTAGTAAACTGGCCATATTTAGATTTTTGTCTGTTCTTTATATTGTAGTCTTAGCATGCAACCTTATGGACCATTTTCATACAAAGCCCTTTAGAAAGAAAATGATTATGTATCACTGTTTTCAAGTTTTAGAATATATTTTTATTTGTACATTTCTCATTGTTTACAAATTCTAACTTAAATCAAGATCAAGTCTTCAAAAATGCAGCAATATGAAT